AAGACCGATGGAGAATGAGTGCAACTGCTGGAAAGTGGTGACGGTGGACAGCTCGTTTTCTTCGTTGATTCCAACCAACTCAGCGTCCGCGTTGGTGTTCTGGGGAATGTTGCGGGCAGCTTCGGCCAAGCGAAGGGTCTCGCGCTGGGCGATAGATGCGACCAAGCTGGAGTCCAAGCCACCAGACAACAAAACACCGTAGGGCACCTCGGCCATCAGACGCTTGCGGACGGCCTTCTCGAGGCTGTGGCGGATCACCTTATAGTCAACCGGGGTCGTGGGGACGTTGGCAGGGTCCCACCACTTGGGCTCGAAGTAGCGGGTCATGGTGTCGGTGCTCGAATCATAGATGTGGCCGGGGGGGAAAGCAATGATCTCGTCGCAGACGGGGTGCAAGCACTTGAGCTCGGAGGCAAAGTAGACGGCGCCGGGAGTCGATGAGGACCGGCCAAGGTAGAAGCTGGTGACACCAATGGGATCACGGGCAGCAACAACACGGTCCTTCTTCTTGTCCCAGAGAACGAAAGAGAACATGCCATCAAGGTGCTTGGGGCAATCGAGGCCGTACTCCTCATACTACTATATATCAGCATTCCGAATCTTAATTCCGATTCACTTATGATTGGCCTGACATACCAAGGGGAGGATAACTTCACAATCGGAGTGTGTCTTAAAGTTGTACTTGTGGCGAAGGTGCTTGCGAATGAGGCGGTGGTTGTAGATCTCACCGTTGACCGCGAGGGCGAGGGTGCTGTCATCGTTGACAAGGGGCTGGGCACCGGAGTCTAAGAAGATTTTGTTAACACATCGATCTTCAAATTCCATCCTTCATAGGGACCACATACCAACACCGACGATACTCAGACGCTCGTGCGCCAGGACTGAACCACGATATTAGCATACCACGCCGAAACCGAAGTCATTGCGTGTTAACTCACTAGTGCTCTGAGCGCAGAAGTTTCCACCTGTAGAAAAACCTTCGTTAACCCCATGATCCTCCCATATACCGCGCAATATTGCGACTCGGGTTGTGACTCACTCCAATCGGGACCACGATGGCGCACACTATGATCAGGACACGAGTCAGCATTTTGTTGCCAATTGCAAATTGCAGCAATTGAAAGAGATACTCACGCCTTGGCCATGCGCAAAGCTGTAGGCTTGAACTTTTGCACATCGGGATGACTATAGGAGTATGGTTAGTATTCCGCAAATTGAACATCCCACTAGAGGCCGGGAGTTAGGGTAGGACATGACGCACTGGTGGCACGCGAAAATTCCACACATGATGGGCAATTGGGAACCGGGGTAGAGATGAAGATCAATTCAGGAGGACAGAGAGAAGAAGAAGAAGGGTACGGGCTGAAATTGACTAATCGTGCGATTATATGGGGAACCTCTGAGCGGCGATTTTTTTCAAATTGGGTGCCCGCCCTCCCGGCGGGGCGATGTCGGCAAGTCTTTTGAGTCACCGATAAGATAGCCTGTGGGCATCCTGGGCCAATTCCAAGTTTACACCAATTAGCATGTCGGGTTAAGAGATTTTAGCTGCGGTGGCAAGATCTGTCACTATAGGCGGGTTCTTTTTGCCGCGTCATATGACTATTGGAGTATAGATCCTTGGAGAATCATCGATTCAAGATCACGTGACTGATATATACCCCACCATGAACTATCTAGCCCTAGCCAAGCCCCTCCTTGTCCGTTTCAGGAAACTGAAATATATGCTGATCATGAGCTTGTTTCGTTCTACAAGCATGTCTATGGATTGCTTCTAGAAGCACACTTTGGTTGGAGTTTATTCTCATTTAGCGAAAGCTTCTTGTGTTGTTCCCCTACCATCAGCATGTGATCTTTAACATTCTTTGTACTATAGAGACAGCTGGGAAAGCCAATTCCAAGGAGAAAGCGAGAGTCACAAAGACAAGATCACATTCGTCTCGATATTGAGGCCATCAAGATCTACCGAGACAATATCTCTTCTGGCTTCTCATTTTGGGCCTCAAGAGCAGGTGTGATGGTATCATCTTGATCTTCTCACTCAATGCTAAAATGGTGAGTTTCAAGAGACATACACAGCCCGGTGCCTATTTAATGTGATGTCTCGATGTCTCCATGACGGTACCTTGGACTTGCGCTAGCTGTATTGGCAAATATGACGCAGTGTTCAGTACACAATCCTATAATGTTGAAATTCCAATTGAAGAAAGGCTTCATCAAGTAAATACATTGGTGTCTTGTTAATTGAAAGTGGAAGTTAAATGCAGCTTTCCAAGACACCCATCATGGACTCATGTTGCATCAGTGCAGAGAGGTCCGGATATTGTGCTGGCTGCTCAGGTGATTTTACCTCACAGGAGCAGATAGGTACAACATCAAGTCGCCTCTGCGAGGGTCATCCTGAACTCAATACATGGCAAGCGTAGGTATCCTGGTAGGGCCATGTATGTGGTATCATTGTTTCGGAATGACCCTAAGCCCAGAAAACGCCATCCATTGGGATATGTAGAACGCCATGCTCGCGATAGAAAAGCAAAAGTTGCTCCCTTCCTTTGAAAATAAATGCATAATCTTCCCACAATCTCCGCAGTATCCCATGCTGAAAAAAAAAAAAGTAAATGACCCATGGAGCGCCATCGCTGTTTACGCTTGGGTAACTCAGAGCTTGATTGGGCTGGTTTCCTAATTGGGCTGGTTTTCCTTGACAGCCATGCGAACCCTGCGTTCGTATTGAGGACGGTCCTTCTTGAAGAGGTTGTAGGCCTCGGCCTGTGCAGGTGACTCAGGGTTCGGGTCGTCCAGGAGATCTTGGATACCGAGCAAGAGCTGCTTAATAGTGATGGCAGGTCGCCAGCCCTCCTCCTCATTCAGAATTGACAGGCAAACCGTTCCGGAAGGGTAGACATTAGGGTGGAAAAGTGCTGGTGTGAATTTGCCTGAACAGTCGTAGTATTAGTATGAGATTATCATGAGAAATCAGAAAAGATCATAGTCGTAGCTCCCATTCCGGTATATCGCAAAAAGGATACGTACATTTGGGAGGCTTGGTAGGGTATTCTAGAAGCATGGAAAGAATGTAGATTAGTATGAGGATCTTCAGTAGTGAATGTATTGCGCCACTCACCATCAGGGAAAATCAAGTCAATCTTGAAAAGTCCACCTTCCCAGAGAGTGTTAGCCTTCCCTGGAATAGCACATTCCCAGTTCTTCAGATCCAGGCCACCCTGCGGGGCACGTTTAGGCTTTGCGACAAAGCCAAATGGGTGATCGCGACGCCATTGCTTTCTAGCGATTCCATGAATGTTAGTGCGGGGAAGGGCGTGGCGCAAAAGATGCGCTGAATCGCGGGATCTGCGGGATAAGATATATGCTTACCGCTCTTCCTGGAGACGGTTCTGGCACAACGACATCTCGGGGAGTGTTCAGCGGATGAGTAGCTGAAACGGGTTGACTGGCGGAGGATGGAAGAATCAAGCAGCAGAAGGATGCAACTTGGCCGAAAATAGGGTGTAGGTCCCGATGGCTGGCTGACTGGTGGGTAATAAGAGAGGGAGAAAGAGGTAAGGGGACGAGTGGGAGATTTTAAAGGTGGCAATCGTCAAAGCTTGGGAGGTGATAGCAATTGACCTCCCCACGCGAACAATGAGTTTGCTTATGTAATGCATGCAGGCCTTGTCCAGGAACCAACCAGGGAGCCTCACTTCTATTGTTAGGTGTAGATAGCAATTACAACTGGTTCTGCAGTATTTTCTTTTTGTTGTCTTCTATGTGGTTATAAAATTACCACATTTGTCCAGCGGTCTTAATCTAATATCATTTGTTCTACTTCTCCGATAGAAGTACTGCTATGTATATGTAGGACTAAACACTTGCACTTTCAGCGTCAGTTTGCTATGACCTAATGTTGAAAATGTGAGCTCAATCGATCAGAATACTGAAAGTTCAAGAGTCTCCAATTACAGCTCCTGTTCTGTGCCATGAGCTGCACAGAGCCCTTAAAGATGGTACCTAGGTCTTGACTACAATGAGGATTCGTGATGCTAGACGGTGCTACATTTATACCTCTCCTTAATATTGGTACAGGTTATTGATCGTCTCATAAATTTTATCATTTGATGTATGTAACTGCGTACATAGAGAATGATATGTAGAAAGTATGCGGCGAAGTTACACGATTTGAGGGGGGAAACAAGCGTGCTTCGCGTGCCAACAAAGAGGAGGGCGAGAAACAGACAGGAGAATCATTATCTGGTCTAAAGTTTTACAAATTGCAGTAACAAATAAAGTGAGGCTTTGCTAGTCCGTGGGCAAATATCAATTCTTTCTTGCTAAGCAGCTTAGTGGTTACGTACCTAGCCCTAAGTAGCAGGGAAATTATAGGCGGAAAATATGACTATAGAAATACGTAGTAGCTATGCATAGTTCGGGGAGTGTGGATCTCGAATATACTAATCCTATTTATGGCATATATCTACGTTTATACTGTATTAATATCGGTCCAAGGTATAGCAATTTAGTTGGTGATATCCAGCAAGATGTTCATATAGAGCAGCAAGCTAGTTATGGACTTCCGACCAACCCTACCTGATAGAATTAAGTTCCTGCTATTCCAACCTCCATAAATATGTCGTATTTCAAGAGTCATTATCCTTCGCCTACAAAGTTATGGACAAAGGCCTCCAGGGTAACAAAGAGCCAAAAATGCTCTAGACATAATGCCTTCCACCCAGAACAATAGCTATTAAAAACCAACGACTCAGCGAGCAAATGTTTCTTTATTCGAACCCCGGCCGGATTGATCCTCGACAAAGGCTCTTTCCAACAACAAGTTTGCCGGCAGATGCCAACATACTTTGGAATCTGGGTTGAGGCGTATAAAGGAGGACCTGCTCATTTCATCTATCATACTCCTCCGAACCACAATCAGGAGCCCTTAGTGAAACTCCTATGAGCAATATTTACATGAAACATCCCAAAGTTACTTACTATTGTTTACCATAATGTGTCATTCCATCGTCTGGTACTATGCCCTATGCCAGCACCAAGACCCGGCAGCAACTCGCCTGATCATGTGCCGCAGAGCCTTCATAGTAGGCTACGAGTGTGCCGAAGCGCAAAACACATTCTTTTTCTCGATTATAGGGAATTGTGCACAATGCAGGCTTAACCAGCTGCTGCTACGCCACTCTGTCTTTCGCGACTGGCGGAGAGAAGATGTTCTGTCTGCGCTCAACGGTGCATTCCAATACAGCGACGAAGACGGCTGGAATATCGATGACAGCGATGCCGACGAATTAGATATGGAAACTTGGATTCCCCAGTCTCCCAGCTTGACTACTAGGACTTTCGCTGAGCGAGCTGAGAACCGGGAGACCAACGTATCATTCCACGAGGGTCCCGTACGCACGCCGACCATAGTGTACCAGTCCTCGCCTCACTTGTCTTGTGTCGCTTTGGTTGAATATGCTGATGACTACGCAGATGATGAAGATGTTGAAGATGAGCCTTTGCAGGAGCCTCAGCCCCAGACGAGCCGGCGCTGGCGCTCTTTGATTCCTCGTCCTACTAGGTTGGTGCGCAACGAGCAGAATGTTACATATATGGCGTTCAGCACTGATGACGATATGTTGGACACAGAGCCTTTCCTCGGCACTCCTAAACCGAAGAAGTATCATCGGACTTGGCGTTCCTGGATTCCCCTTCCTGTTAAGAAGTTGTCGGAGCAATAGATTGATGGAATAGAGTAGTAGGATGGAAATCTTTGATGTTTCATAGGAGATTAGATGATTGAATTTTGAGATGATTCATAGTCTGCATTTTGTTTTACTTTTAGAGTAATCCTAAAGTAATCCTAGGGAACATCGCAATGAGACTTCACTAGAGCAACATCAAATGAAATTGAGCACTATCATTAACATAGCTAATTAATAATATGAAAGGGTATAAACATAAGCCATTGGCCATGTAAAACCCCGGTCATACTCCTCGGTCCGAGAGGCCTTGCTATGATTTTGTTGCCGTGCAATAGTCGAGAATGCACAAATTAACATATAATCGAGATGTCATGTCGTATAAGAGAGGACGAACATGGGCAGTTAGACTGTGTAAATCCCTTGGTTGAACTTGTCGAGATCAAAAAATCGTGCCGTGATTTCGTTGCCATTGAAGATCCGGCCTTCGAGCGCGTTCACGGCCTAACGGATATGCAATAGTCAGCAATGCACAACTCACATTTGAATCAAGACGTAGATATCAAAAGCTTACCCGTAGACCAGACAAGGGATGAGTAAATTTGATCAAGACCGGGACTGGGGTTCCGACGTCGCGAGGGATGACGACTCGCTCCACGTCCCCATACTATGAGTCCCGGAAGTTAGTAAAAGCACCCAAGCCAATCGAAAAAGGAAACGTACCTTCTCTTTGCATTCATCTCCAATCTCCTGTACCAAGCCACCATTATGGCTTCCCTCTATCTCCGCATCCAGGTCCATACCGTTCAACATGCCCCGTAGGATGACCACCTCACTCATAGGGCCAAACTTGCTGGTTTCATATTCGCCCTTCTTGTTGCTTCCAATGATCTTACCTCGCCCGGCAGGTGTGACAAAGCCACCACCCTCTGAGTCTGGTCGCTTCTTTCGCTTCTCAAGCTTGACTTGCAGCGGCTTCACCATACCAGAACCAGTAGCGCCGAGGCCGGAACCCTTGGTCCAGCCATACTTGGAAAGCAGTCGTTCTGCGAAACCTTGTTGCCCGGGACGAAGAGACCGTGGAGCGGACTCGTCTGGTTCTTCCTCGTCTGCCGGTTGATCTTGGGCCAATGCGGCTTCAAGTTCGGCTTCGGAGGCTGGGATTTCTTCTGGGGGTGGCGGAAGATTGTATCGGACTGGTGCGCGGGATATGGTTGCAGAGCTTGGCTGGAAGGCGTCAAGGGGGCGTGGTGGTGGAGGTGGGATGGTTTGTCCCGATGGAGGGTCATCGGAAATTGGAATAGGATCTTCAGCTCGGCTTGGAGATGAAGGCGGAATTTGTGCGTGAGTAGCGATTGAATCATTGTCGAGGCGTTGCCCTAATGCTGCACGGCGAGCAAAGGCATCGTCCCCAGATGTGTCATTGGGGATAGAAGCTGGTGGTGGCACGTCATTGAGGTTTGGCGGCGGCGCAAAGTTGCTTGGAGGCGCAAATTGTTCTGGTGATATCTTATTAGCCTGGATATCGTCACTCATCGCAAAAGACCCTAACATACGCTTTTTTGGCTGGTCATAATCATCGCTATCGGAATACCTGCTCGGTGAGCGCTTCCTAGCAAGCGCATACAAGGTATCCTTCCACTCGCGGACTTCAAAGATCTTCTCGTCACTATGGCCGTATTCCGCGCAATTTGTAGGCCGAGAAGAGTCGTAGATATCTTCCCAGTTTTGGACAACATGTGTTTCAAAGTTCTTCTTGCGCTTCTTTCTTCCACCACGCTGTCGCTTCTCACGGGCGTACTCATACTCGTCATCTTCAATGGCCGTCCAATCAGCCAAAGTGCTCTTTGTCGGTATCGAAGGGTTAGCTGAGGGCTGTGGTTGAGGTGCCTTGGGTAAAGTATGTTTCGATTTTGGCTTCTGGGCTGAGAGCTGTGGTCTTTTGGGGGGTTGGAATCGAAGGGAGGCTATAAAAAAACATCGCACGTCAGCATATACCGCGTCGATATTCAATAAGTCGAGGGTAAATACCAGGATTCAGTTGTTGCTTTTTGACGCTCGCGTCATCAGGTTGAGGTTCTGTCTCCGCCTGCTTAAAGACAACAGGGGCACGGGAGATGGTGCCAGGTGTATCGCCAGACGGATTTAGTAGGTTGGCATACAGGGACATGCCCCCTCTCGGAGGAGTAGGATCAGAAGCCATCACTGTTATGCTATGGTGAGAAAGTGGTTGTCTTGAACGTCGGCATCGCGATAAGGCTTCTTTTATCTGGCGCCGCAACTCTCCGACTCTCCGCCTCCCCACCACCTATAATTGTCACCTTTACCATCACCTGTGCCATCCTTAGCTATTCCTCGTCTAGTTGGTTTCTACTTGGATTTCCGCAACTTTGCTCAATTTTCCATTGTTAAAATAAAATCTGCGCCTCTATTTAAACAAGTTCGGCCGGCAAAGGTCGATAGCTCAAGCCCAAGCCTAAGCCAAAACCAAACCCGGACGTGGACACGATGACCGAACCAAACAAAGCATTAGGGAAGCCAAAAGGGGTATGTACGAATGCATTGCACAGACCAATATAAACACTATCAGGCCACTTGATTTCTTAGCCAAATCCTCCAATCCTTCCTCCGCTCTTATATCAAATGAGTCCTTTAATACTGATATCGATCTAGTCTCTCAATGCTCCTATTGCAGCTTTCACTATGGCTATCCTCCTTTTGACATACTGTAGTAGCTCTATCCGCTCTGCACGGCGAGATGCCCAAACCCATGTTCCCGGTCCTCATCAGCCACCTCCACGAAAAGACGAGTCCTGGGTTGAACAAGCACTTGAGGAGAGTCGAGCGCAGAATGGTGGGAAGGGACGATCCTGAGGTTTACCTACATACATATGTATGTTGAAGGGTGCTTTTCTACATGTATTATATGGATTGAATCCACTGAACAGGTGTTTGATAAATAGATTGTGATACCAACATGTAAAATTCTTTGTTCATTCGCTCTTGTTGCTATATAGGTGAAAAGAGAGCAGAACCAACTGGAAGTAACATCTGCATCTTCATATTCAATCAGAATTTTCAGTGTATGAATGATCATGCCCCGGGAGTCTAAGTGTATTGACAACCCAGTTCAATCTTGAAATTGTTCATCATGCGAATAGTGAAGGAATGTGTGATATGACCAAAGGATTTGCAAAATTGGGTGATATGAGAATATACAGGCACATATAGCTGCTTTTCAATTGATCAAATAGTCGCAAGGTCAGTGGAGTTATTGATTTATGTAAATCAGGTTAGTAAGTGAAGCTGATTGAAATCGACACCTGGTTGATCTAAAATTGTTTTCTGACCACTGTTAATTGATTCCAAAGTGCCAGCATTGAACATTTGAGTATCAAGTACAGATTGATGGTTTGTCGAAGTGAAAAATGTGGAGGGAGAAGTGGAAGGGAAAAGAGGGAAAAAAAATAATTGCGGCAAATTTAAATAATGTGTCACGTGCCTGTCCCATAATCTACTTAGCCTAGGATGCATCTATACAACGTTTATCATCAACAAGCTGTGTGGCAGGTTTTCCACACACTGTACTTTCCAATGTAACAATTGTTAGGCTTCGCTTGGGATGAGAGTTGATAGTAATCTGCCATTCTTGAAAATTCGCGCTACTTTGAACTCATCAAACTTGTCACAAACTCCGAATACAACGCAAGTACTCCGTACAAACAAGGCGGAATCCAAAGAGATGGGTCTGGAGGACAGTTAACATTCATGCCAGAGGCTTTGCAATGGTCGAGATGAAGTCTGAGCTAATTTTCTAACAGATAGCTTCAATTGAAATATGCTATTCGTCTTTCAGAATCAGGCTTGGGGGCCGTTTCTTTATTTGAGGACATATATTCACAAGAATGGGCAACCATGTAGAATAGGTATGTATGTACAGAAAATACATGCAGAAGCCAGGAAGATAATAGACAAGTCAAAAAGGAGCAAGAAAAGAAAAGCCATGCTTGGAGGTACAATAATGTTCCAGCTAAAATGCAGCGAGCATATGAAGACATGTGAAAGCTGTTTCACATGTCAGAGCCCTAGAAGTCTGGAGACACTGTCATCTATGCCGAAACGCTCGGATGCTTTCAGAATGCAGTAGCAAATTTTACTCGCTAAAGATTGATCTCAAATATCGAGTAACAGACCGCCTCGTCCATGTCTATACAGGTTGTGACAAAGGGAAAAAGAAGGACTCGGCGATCAGAAGCGGTGGGGTGCGATGTGATAAAAGCGGATATGAAGGAAGAGGATGAAGCGTCGAGGTTGAAGGTTGAAGGTTGGGGTGGAGCGTGAGGGTGGAGCGTGGAGGGTAGAGGTTAAAGGTTGGAGGTTGGAGGTTAGGGTTGGGGTTGGGGTTGAAGGTTGGAGATAGTCTTTTGTGTGATGATATTGTGTCAAATAGATCGCGCAGCTTCTTCTTCCGCCTGGAGCCTCAGAGCACCGGCATGCTGCAAATCACCGATCTGCCGCCGCAGGTATTCGTAGGTGAGCATGGTGGTCATAGCAGCCGGAACGGCCCGGAATAGGTTGACGCCGATCCCTGAGTAAAACGCATGCCATCCCTCCTCCTTGAGGATTGTTTGGAACGTGCGTATAACGCCATTGTACCGTGGGCGGCTGGGCATTCCATCTGACGAGGATATGCCACCCGACCGGCCGCGGTCATGTGGATGTTTCAATCCGCCGCGGAATGCGATCTCTTCGTGGGATTGCGCCGGAACACCCCGTTGCTGTGTTTGGAGTCGTGTCCGCAAAACCTCGTGCGGGTACGTGATTGTGCTGGCACAGATCTTGCTGAGGAAAGTGGCAGCGGATATTCCAGCCCAGTGTGAGCTCCCATCCTCCTGGTGTTCACCGATACCAGAGCCCGTGAACGTCATTTTTAGATATTCGTAAAGTGGGAATTGAATGGCCACATGTGTCAGTCCCAGCAGAGCCGGGGTGAGGCCAGAATAGAAGGAGCGAAGGCCCTCAATTTGATACATCTTTCGAGCAGCATCCCATGTGCCTTTGTATTGCCAAGGGGCTCGCACTCCTTCGCTGTTTTGTTTAATGCTTTGTGACATGAGCCTAGTTTTGATGACCCAAATAGGGTTCGTCACAACCGTTGAACATGCACCGGCCGTGACCGAAGCATAGCCGCGGGATAACCACCAGTTTCCTGTGGTTTTGTCAGTACTGCTGAATGACCGAATCCTTCATTCTGGAGTACTTACCTGTCTTGTCATAGAAGTATTCACGAGCACGGTCATAGACTGCTAGATAAACAGCCCACGTGGGGAGATATCCCAGCAACATTGGACCTAGTCCCTGGTAGAGACCGCGAATGCCATCTTCTCGCCAAATCTTCCTTCCGCTTCCAAGCAAGCCACGATATAGCATCCCCGAGGCAACTTGCTTTGCTCCCCGCCGAAACCCGCCCTGGGCTTGAAGCTTCGTTTTGATAACATCAAGAGGGCATGTGACAATCCCAGAAGCCATGCCAGCACTGGCTCCGCAGAGAGGTGCTACGTAAAAGTTGGGTATCTTGGTGGAAAAGAGCTCGAGGCGGATTTTGAAATCGGAGATCGGCGCGGGCAAGTTGGGGGCATTGTCGACATGGGTTGACCGAGCTTGGGATTGGGAGCTGTCTGGAGCGCCTCGGCCGTTTGTATTCATCTTGGCGGCTGGCGCTCACGCAGCTTTTCGACCGTACTGAATCAATGAGGCTTCCCGGACACGAGCATAGTTATCGAGTGGCTCAATCCGGAACCCGAGAATACTATTTCGAACGGAGCTGGGAAAGAGATGTAGATTTATCCGGAGGTCCAAGGTCCAAAGTCCAAAGTCCTTCGCGGGTGTAAGGAAGGAGGTATGAGTAATGACGGAGAATTGAGAGAGGGTTTTGGGGGGCCGATGTTGCCGAACCCGGTGTGCTTCCTTTTGAATGCGCAATGTTCTATTATCAGCACGGATGTGGGCGGGGTTCTCGGAATGATCAAGCTTCTTAACGTAAGCAGGGATCAGTGGATTCTTTGCTGATTGACAAATCCCATCTCTCTCAAATCAAATGACAAGATCGCAAAGGGGATATGACATAGCAAACCGATCTGTTAGATAGAGTGTGCCGATTGAACAATCCCAGATTCTCGCCGCCTAAGGCGCATATAGACCACGTGCTAATAGCCTCAGGTGTAGAACTGCCGTTTCAGGACTAGCCGCCCGAGCTCCGTTTTGCACAACCTCGCAACATCGGGTCATCTCGTGTTCCCGATAGCCTTTCTAACCTTTCACCACACCCACGTCAATTGGGATACCCGGGATTCAAAATGTCTGCCCCTTCGCTCGCCAGTTACATCGTCAAGCGCCCATGGCTCAAGAGCTGGCTCACCCCTCTCTCCCACTGGTACACCGATGCCGCCGGCTACAGGAGACTCGGACTCAAGTAATTCTTGCCCTCTCACATCGACAACCCCCCACCACGAGCGATTGAGACAGGGATTGGGAATTGTCAGGTCAAATTCGTCATACGTCGGTGGCATATCTTTTGAATGCAATCGGAGTCGTGTCGAATTCGCCCGGAGCCCCGGTCTTGCGGATATCGTTCGCGGCAGGGTTGGACCGAAACACTTGCTAACCGCCCAACTAGGTTCGATGACCTGATCCCCGAGGAGAGCGAGAACGTCCAGAAGGCCATCAAGCGTCTTCCCGCCAAGGAGGCCTATGACCGTGTCTTCCGCATCCGCCGCGCCTTCCAGGTTCGCCCGATCCCTTCTGTACCCGACTGGCGCAAAGGCTAACAAATGTGTCAATTGCAGTGCTCCATCTCCCACACTCTTCTTCCCGCCAACGAGCAGATCAAGCCCGAGGAGGTGAGTCCCCGACATCCAAATTTCGCCCTCCCCGCATTAGTCTCCATATCGGCCAATCCTGTTGCACGGATTTGTCACATCCAATCCGACTCCGTTTCGGGGTATACACTCTCACCACAACGAATACAATGCTAACGATGCAAATCAAATAGGACGTCGAGTACCTTAGCCCTATCATCCGCGAGATCGAGAAGGAGGTTAAGGAGCGTGCTGACCTTGACAACCTTGTTGTCCGCAAGTAAGCCGTTGCTACTTGGTTCAATAGAATATGAAAACAAGGGGTTGGGGTAGCATTGTTCTTGGCATGGAATAAACGCCTGGTGTGCTTTCTTCGTAATGGAATGGGCGTTGTCGTCGGCGGCCCATGGCTTGGTTACGCAGCCTGAGTGTACTGATACTGTACAAATCGATTTTCTTCGCGCGCTTATATTCATGGTCCATCTTGTATCGACAAGCGGGTCTTGCACCTCTTGGACATCACTCTGTAGTAATGACTGGATAAGCTATGCGGGTTGTGGTAGCTGGTCTGTTTGGGTTCGCCCAATAACTATGCCTACACAGTAAACCATCTTTCACCTTTTCTTATGGCTGTGAACTCAAAGCCACAATTCATTTCAAATATTAAATATATACACTATAAAAACTTAAACTACAACCTCATCTCGGGTGGTCGACGTCTAAATCACACGGTATCAAGACAAGCCGGATTCACGGATGTAGTATCTCTTCTACCTCTTTTAACCGCCAAGAACAGCAACATCAACGTTCTCAATCCGCCACATATACCACATGAACAGACTCCTAGAGCAACTAGGTTAGCACATTGTCTGCTAGTTAACAGTATAAACAGGATCAAGCGTACCTATATGGTGCAAACTTGGCAGCAAGTTCAAGCATATCCTTTTCAGCCATATATTTGAACTTACCACCACCTTTGCCCTTAAGTTTGCTCACATCACGACCCATAAAGGCAGCGCAGCCTCGCCTATCATAGTGTCAATAAACGCTTCCACTAACCCACAGCACAAACATCACCCAGCTATAAGACCAATAGAATGAAATCAAGAAATGAACTTACTGTACTCCCAAATCCCCAGTAGAAAACACATCAATGCGCTTAAGCGCAAACATAGCAAACATCTCAACCGACCACTTCCCCAACCCCCGAACAGCAATAAGCTTTTCAAAAAGCTCCTCATCAGTAGCCCGCGCCAACATCCTCGCCCCAAGCTCCCCACTAGCAAACTTCTCCGCAAGACCCTGGATATACTCCGCCTTGCGCTGCGACAGCCCCGCCGTGCGCAGGGTAGCGATATCACACTTGGCAACCTGATCCGGAGTCGGGAATTTGGCATGTCTATGCCCATCAGGCGCAACAGTATCGGGCAAATCAAACAGTGACAGGAACTTGTTCCGGATAGACTTTGCTGCCGCGCCAGAGACTTGCTGGCCGATGATGCTGCTGGTCAGGCTGTTAAAGGGGTCGATTTCCTCTGCCAGGCCGGCCGGCGAGAAGAGCGGACATGGATGCTGCTCGATCACTACTGCGATGCGCGGGTCTGTTGCTATGAGGTGCGCGGTGGCTTTCTCGAGCAGTGTCCCTGTTGTGGCTGTTGGCCGTGGAAGTCCGGTTTTTGAGGGGGAGGCATCTTCCGCGTGCGCTGGGTAGGCGTTTACTGTTGAGCCGTGGGGGGTTATGAGGATTGCGTTTGTTCGGTGCGGGTCGACGGGACGGTCGAGGGGAGGGGGGGTCTGGGGTCTGAATATCGTGGGGTTAGTGGGTGAGAGTTGGTTGTCTGTTTCTTGTTTCTCTGCGACTGCAGGCTCCGGGGACCAATAGGAGGTCCCTGTTTTTGGTTTTGGTTTTGTATTTGTAGGTTTCTTGTCTGATTTGTTGGTCTTTGTGGGTGCCTTGCGAGGCTTTGTCACTGCGCTGTGTTGGACTCTTGCTTCGCTCGGAGCTGAGCTTTGGAGTAGCGGTGACTTGATGGTTGGGACGGAAGCAAGTCGGGCTGAGCGTCTGAGTGACATTCTTGAATAATATCAGATATTCAATGACCTATATATGGGGTACTGGACCTGAGGAGGTCTGAGGAGTCGTCGTAGCGGAAGCTGGGGTTTGCTGACGTGCGGAGTTGGAGATCCGCCGCGCTACCCCACGAATGTCAACCACACTGACACTCTTCAATGGGAGCTGGACAGACAGACATCGAAGCTTAATAATATTCATCATTGACCGTTGATTTTCGATATGGTAATCGCTCTTATTTTCGTGCATGCTTACCACTTCTCATGTATGACGTATTTCCAACATATGCAAGCTATAGTCATCTATATATCTGAGACCTTTAGACACCGTTATGGGATCCCATTTGACTGAAAGCCTACGTGCAGGAGTCGTGGATATTTCTAGTAGTTTCAACAAGCACCTGTGGAGCTCAGGAATTTGTTTCTTACGCCAAATCTATGAAGAGGAGTAGGGTTGCCTGCCAAGAGTTATATCCATGGGTTATATTGAAACTTACACGAGTAACTAACTAGGATCTTATGAATCGCACATTACTCCTCTTGTCATCTCTCTCTAATCAATATCATCGTCATGGATTATCTGCAACATACATCAACTCCCTTCGTTGTATAGATGTGGTATGCGATCCACTGATGGTTCTATGGGTTGTTTTATTGCAAACAGTGCTATGATTCCAATGTTACATCGACGAAAGTTCGATAAAAGCCTCAATGCACATAGATGTAGCATCCAAGGCTATTTGCCCCAATGATATCTATGGTATGTGCCGATGATGAAAGATGTACGGAATAGACAGTTGCTATAAATATCCCTATAATCTTGGGAGACGTATACGGCCAGTGATTGTACCTTGGATTTATACTGAGAACTCACGCGATTGGATGCGATATACTCCGCTACAGCATTGTCCCAAGGAACTATCCGCAAGAACACCCCGTGGCCCGAAATTGAAGAACCATGGTAGCTTGGTAATATATTACGAGATTTACATGAAATTTGAAAGACTTAAAGATCGAGGATGGGTATAATTCGTGATATATTAGCGAGATTTTGGATTGAACTATTGTTCAAAAGATCGGGGCTCGCGTCGGTGGCTTGCGATTATATATTAACCCAATCGCCGACGAATTTTATCGGAGGGGTTAAAATAGAAAAATAAATGAAAGAACAGAAATAGTCCAAACGAACCGACCGTTCATCTATTGCAATTAATAGATATCGACCAATAAAAACCGAGATTATCATTTAGGCCGAAGCGTTGAGCCGAGTCAACTCCAAGACGTTGGTGCATTAGTTCGAAATCAGAAACAAGAATGAATCCCTGCTCGTGCGACTACCACTAGAAGCCATCAGACTATGATAACTAGAAGGTCTCGCCTTACAGCCCCAGCCTTCACCAGGATAATGCACATAACCCAGAGTGGTCGGGCGAGTACATTGTGCGTGTACTCCGTACTTTTGGATCATTGTCCGTGTTCTAGGGAATGTGGCCATTCGCAACCCCTAGATAGGTCATTGCTGAGCGTTCCACGCATTCCCATGCGTGGCCCTCTCAACCTTTTAGGGCAGACGGGAATGTGTGTTGAATGCTAGGCAGAAATCACCATACACTTGTTTCTTTGTCTTTCGTACTCCGTACCTACTGTGACAAGTGCCAAGTTTAGGGCCAGTACAGCTGGACTCAGCTTTGGGGTATCCATATTTGTGGCGTAACGAGCACGGGCAAGTATTGAAGTCAGTATGTGTCGAATTTTTCCGAATCAATAGACTTGGGTTTCGCGACAAGGCCACGCGGCCATTCTTCATAGTCGAAGACGTACGGAGGAGGATATAGCAAATCATTGAAGTCTTTCGATAGGATTGGACGCGATAGAAAAAAACATATCACGTAGTGGAGCAGTACAAGAGTGGGGTGCGACGTATCGAGTGAGTTGGCTTCTTCTGAAACATTTCCCGACTTTACATCGCCAATAACCACTTTGCCACCCGAAAGGGGAACGACATTTAAGTCAGTTGTATCCGGAGTACGAAGTAAATATTCCATTGTCAATACTGTCAATTCCATTGGGTCTTCTAGAACGAGGTGCGATGGATTCGCTATCGAAGATGTACCGGGCCGATGAAGCTCTAGACAATGCTTGACAGGAGCTCCATCGCCGGGGCCAAAGTTATAGCCGGTTCTGCATTGTTACCGAAAACGCACAGATGTTGAAATTTTCAATGTACAACGTACGAAAATTTCCAAATGAGTCCTTGAGATCGTCTGGAGGTGCGTCCTTGTGATTTAAAGCTGTACATGTACATGTACACCGTACACCGTACAACAAGGCAAGGCAGGTACCTATACTCCGTACTTGGCGAGGTTATGTACCTAATTGGGTACGAATGGAAAGTGTGGCGAAGCTTCAAATCAGTCGTGATCGACTACCGATCTCCGAGAATTAGATTACCTCTTATACCAACTGATGTGCGCATGGCGCATAAATTAGGGGTCTGAGAGGGACTGCATGGCTTGATGCTTGGCATAGGCTTTTCCGAGCACCATTTGCATATCACATTCACGAGGGGGGCGATGTTTCGCCTCAGGTAGAGTTGGATTTTCGGAAAACAGCCAGGATTGACAGTAATCCAGGGCGAGTCATTCCAACGTGCCAATCAAAAGTCGCGCATGCCGCAATCGACGATAGCGGCAGGGGGCGGGTCCATAGAAGGCCCGCAAATTTAGATCGGCCACTATCAAAGTGAGAAGCTTCGAAACCAGTTTGAAGATTGCGTGGCTAGTGTTTCGGGGAGAATCGGTGTGTGTGTGCACTGTGCAGTGGTGGAGGGGTTGGCAGTTGGTATGTTGTAGGTACGGAGAGTCTATAGACCTATGCATTGTATAAGAATAGTTATAGGGGCTGAGATTGTCTCATATAGATGCAATAAGATTGAACGAGAAATGAAGTTACAGTCTAAGACAATTTAAGATCAACAGGGGAGTGAGCTGTGTCGGATTACTAGATGACGACAGGTTGATAAATTGGCTAGTTAACTTCTTGGTCAAGTTCGTTAAGACGTTCGTCACGAGCTAGTATCATGCATTATTATTAGATCCTTCTAGTATTAAGGACGCCGGGGCGACGGTATAAATTTACATGGTCCATGTCCAAGATACCGAGGATATGACAACGTACTTTTGATATCCGCAAACAAAGCTACAAGACACCAAATTCTACGGTAGTACGGAGTATGGAGTACAGAGTACAGAATCGCCAGTGGCAACTATCAGATCACCCAAGTTATAGGCTACCTTGCCGAGTGCATAGCCCGAATTGAAAGTGACGAAAACATCTCCAATATCATGCAAACATGAATATCTACATGTGAACTCCAATATTCCCCAGTCTATGAATCATCATGTAAACAAAATACTCTTCCAAAGGTTTACCAAAATGGAGAAAGGGGGGCGACTTAGCGTTGAAAAGCAGGGAATTGGTCTGGAGTTATTTAAGAATTGAGTTTTTGATTTGATTGGTAATTTGCAGTCCTGGGTAATTTTCAGCTCTGGTAATTTGTGGTAATCCTGGTAATTTGCGTAACCGTCCACCACTCAAGTCACGAGAAACCCGATAAATTACCTGGCACTGCCCTGACATGCCGGATGCGGTACTGTGTGTGTTTCTTCCCCCTTGGTATAGTGGCACCTGGTAAGATTAGAATACAAACAATCTCCACCCTCCCCTTTCCTCTCGCCCCAAGGCTCCTTCTTCTTCCTCATTTTACTCTCCTCCAACCTTCGTCCATTCGTTCTTACCATTATTTGAAGTTCCTGCCTCGTACCACTCGGCAGTATATCTCCGCTTCCCTCTCGTTTGAAGCGCTTCTTCTCTAATCACTCATTGCGAATTTTCCTGCTCAACCCATTCCCATATCTCTAATCGGTACCGACACCAATAACCCCCTGATCGAAAAAATCACACTGACACCTCCTTTAGAATCTTGTGATGTCTCTCAAGTACATCCTCCCCGCGCTGGCCGCCAGTCGGGCAGTTTTCGCTGCCAGTGAGTATTCTGTTCCCGGCATAATGATACACCCACTAATCATGTCCTCTTACAGCTTCCTGCGGTGATACCAAGGTCAGCACCCAGAGCGACGCTGATGCGGTCAACACTTGCACCACCATCAAGGGTGATATCACCATCGACAAGTCCTACAGCGGCGACCTTACGCTCAGCGGTATCGAGAAGATTACTGGTGGTCTGATCTGCTCCGGTGGCCAGAACGTCAGCTCTATCAGCGCCAGCTCTCTCACATCGATCGGCAAAGCCTTCGACTTGGAGGGACTCACCACCCTGACCCTGCTTGACTTCGCTGAGCTCGACTCTGTTGGCTCCATCAACTGGGAGGCTCTCCCTAAGCTCCAGTCCCTGTCTTTCGCCAAGGGTGTCACCCAGGCCGGCGATGTCAGCATCGCCAACACTGGTCTCACTGATCTGACCGGTATTACCCTCAAGACTGTCGGTACCTTCAGCATCCAGAACAACCGTGATCTGAAGACCATCAACATCAACAACCTCATGAACGCCACCGACTTGATCAGCTTCTCGGGTAACTACGATACCCTCGAGGTCGATCTTCCCAACCTCGGCACCGGTACCAACATGACCTTCCAGAACATCTCCTCGGTCTCCCTGCCTTCCCTTGAGAAGCTTACCGGTCAGCTCGGCTTCTGGGGTACCAAGTTCGAGACTTTCTCCGCTCCCAACCTTACCCAGACCGGTGACTTGATCTTCAAGGACAACACCAAGCTGTCCAACATCAGCATGCCCGTTCTGAAGACTGTTGACGGTGGATTCACCATTGCCCGTGATGACAAGCTCTCCACCATCAGCCTGCCCATGCTCCAGCGTGTTAACGGTGCCATTGACTTCAGCGGTACCTTCAACAAGTGAGTATCCTTCCCATAGCTCTATCTGTGCACATACTAACAACCAATAGGCTTTCTCTTGGTGCTCTCAA